CAAGTCAATGAGCGAAGTCAGCGCGATGAAGTGTGTGGAGAAGTGAGGATGCACGTCCAGCTACCAGGGGCTGTCACTACTCAGACCGGGGTTGCGGCAAGTTCCAATTTTTCAAGAGAAGCCAATTTTTTAGACTTCTTTGTAAGCTATCCCAATTTTTTTTTTTTTTGAGACAGAGTCTCGCTTTGTTGCCCAGGCTAGAGTGAGTGCCGTGGCTTCAGCCTAGCTCACAGCAACCTCAAACTCCTGGCTCAAGCGATCCTCCTGCCTCAGCCTCCCGAGTAGCTGGGACTACAGGCATTCGCCACCATGCCCGGCTAATTTTTTGTATATATATTAGTTGGCCAGTTAATTTCTTTCTATTTATAGTAGAGACGGGTCTCGCTCTTGCTCAGGCTGGTTTTGAACTCCTGACCTCGAGCAATCCGCCCGCCGTGGCCTCCCAGAGAGCTAGGATTACAGGCATGAGCCACCGCGCCCGGCCGCTATCCCAATTTTTAAATGTCCAATCTTCAAATTTTTAAAAGGCAGCATGTGGGCCAATAGAACACCCCGTGGCCACCTTCCTTCTCCTCCTGCCAGGAAAGGCTGGCGGGTGATGAGCTTGCTGCCCTGCAGAAGCACAATGGTTACCAAGGGAGCATGAGCTGAGGCCCGCGGGGAGAAATGCTGGCACGGAGGGGGGCTCCCGCCCCTCTGTGGGTCTCGTGCATTCCCGTAGGCTGAGGGGAGAACTCTGACTCCCAGCAAAGTCCAGAGCCCACACCCAGAACACGCAGTGGCAGCAGGTGCAATGTTGATGAGGAACCTGGCAGGTAAGGTGTCAGGGCTTTGTGATATTTATTCTCCTCCCCCATCCCTCTATTTTTTGCCACCTCTAAAGTGGGAGAGAAGAATGGCAAGATCCAGAAAGGTTCTCAGAGTGCTGTGCACCTGGGTGGGAATCCAAAAGTAAAAATCTGGGTGAGGATTTAGAAATGAGGGAAAGTGGACCTCCCAAATCTGAGGGAAAGAAAGGCAGTGCTCATCTCTGTGGTTGAAAATGATGTCAACAGCTATCCCTTCTGTAAAAGAGCTAACGTTTACTGAATGCTTGCTATATGCCAGGTATTTGTATGGGGATGGTCTCTTTTAATCCTAAGAACTCTTGAGAATAGCCATCATTTTTATCTCCATTTCATAGATAAGGAACTGGGTTACAGAAATGCTGAATCATTTGGCCACGGCCACATGGACAAGTTTTGCATGAGTCCAGCCCCAGCCATCTGCGTTCAGAATCTGAGCTCCTGATCTTCACCCAGACTGCCTTTCTCCAGAATACTGCCCGGTCCTCCCAGCACTGCGGTGCCCCAGCACCTAACATAGTGTTTTTTGGGTTTTTTTGTTTTTGTTTTTGTGTTTGAGACAGAGTCTTGCTTTGTTGCCCAGGCTAGAGTGAGTGCCATGGCATCAGCCTAGCTCACAGCAACCTCAAACTCCTGGGCTCAAGCGATCCTCCTGCCTCAGCCTTCCGAGTAGCTGGGACTACAGGCATGCGCCACCATGCCCAGGTAATTTTTTGTATACATATTTTTAGTTGGTCAATTAATTTCTTTCTATTTTTAGTAGAGACGGGGTCTCGCTCTTGCTCAGGCTGGTTTCGAACTCCTGGCCTTGAGCAATCTGCCCGCCTCGGCCTCCCAGAGTGCTAGGGCCGGGCGTGAGCCACTGCGCCCGGCCCTAACATAGTGTTTGTTGAAGAAATAGGCAACCACTCGCCACCATCACGCAGGCCCTGATCATTAGTGAGTTAGTTTATACTTGTTGAGCATGTTCTCTGGGCCAGGTACCACATGAAGTGCTATAGATACAACATTGAATAAAATACAGTCCCTGCCCTTCAGGGCCTTATGTTCTAGTCTAGTGGACAGAGACAGACAACAAACACACAAACAGGAAGGTAGTTTATGGTAGTAATAAATGCTGAGAAAAGAAAATGGAATACATGCTAGAGCACTGGGAGGGTGGAACAACAGAGGTGGGGAGGGGCTACCTTAGCCACAGTGATCTTAGGCAGCAAAGACAACATCTGAGCTCAGATGTGGTTGTTGGGATGGAGGCAGCTATTGGAAAATCTACAGCAGAGAGTTCCAAGAAGAGAAACAGCATATGCAAAGGCCCTGAGTCAAGAAACAGCTTGACATGTCCAAGGGAACCTCCCTTGCCCCCTGCCAAAGAAAGACAAAGCCTCTGAGGCTGGAGAGAGAGTGGAGAGGGAGATGAAATGAAAGAGGCAGGCGGAGTGCTAGATCACGTGGGCCCCTGAAGGCCGGTTGGGAGTTTGGATTTCATCTTACTTGCAGTGGGAAGCCGTTGGAAAACAGTAGGCAGGGAAGGGATACCATTTGATTTCCAATTTTCAGAGGTCTCTCTGACTGCCATGTGGCAAATAGACTGCAGGAGAACAAGGGTGGGGGTGAGAGGGCAATGAGAAGCTCGTTGCAGTAGAGGATGTTGAAAAGTGGTCATACTCTGCATAAATTCTGGAGGAAAATGTAACAGAACTAAATAAACTGAATGTGGAGTGTTAAGGAGAGATAGGCATCAAGGATAACTCCTGATTTTTTTTTTTCTCTGACTAACTGGGTGAATGGTGATGCTATTTACTGGGATGAGGGAAACTTGGGGAAGAAATGATTTGGGAGGTAGGAAGAACCTATAGTTCTATTGGTAGTTTGGCTCTGTTAAAGTTGACACACCTGCCAAGATAGGAGTCAGGGCTGGAGATGTGGGAGTTATCTGATACCCACAATTTTATACATATACGTACATAATTTATATATACACACATATACATACATAAGATTATTTGTTTATTTAAGGTCATGAGACTGGGGTAAAATGACCCAGGGGAAGTGTGTAGGAAGGGAAGAGGCCAAGGACAGAGCCTTATGACACTCCTGCATTTACAGGTTGGGAAGAGAATGAGCCAAGAAAGGAAACCGAGAATGCATGTTCAACGTGACAAGAGTGATGTCAGAGCAGAGAGTGTTTCGAGGAGGTGGCAGTGGTCAACCAGGTCAAAATTACAGACAGGTTAAGTAAGATGAGAAGGCCAGGCACGGTGGCTCACGCCTGTAATCCTAGCACTCTGGGAGGCTGAGGAGGGAGGATTGCTTGAGGTCAGGAGTTCGAAACCAGCCTGACCAAGAGCGAGACCCTGTCTCTACTATAAATAGAAAGAAATGAATTGGCCAACTAAGATATATAGAAAAAATTAGCCGGGCATGGTGGCGAATGCCTGTAGTCCCAGCTACTCGGGAGGCTGAGGCAGGAGGATCGCTTGAGCCAGGAGTTTGAGGTTGCTGTGAGCTAGGCTGATGCCACGGCACTCACTCTAGCCTGGGCAACAAAGCGAGACTCTGTCTCAAAAAAAAAAAAGATACTGATGCCGGTCTTTAGGATGCATGCTGGTTACCAGCTGTCAATTATGAGTCACGTGCATGCGCAGGCAGGCCCTGTGCGCAGCTCTGATGATGGGGGAGCAGGTGGGTAGGACACAGCAGTAACATCACAGAGGGAGCTCAGCTCAAGGGTAGAAAACTGGGGAGACTTCAGTTGGCTGTGCCTGGCCTCACCGTCTGCTCATTATTCCTAGAGTGACTAAGCCTCATCAACCCCAGCTCCTCTTATTTTCTCTCTCTCCTGCCTCTTCCAGAAGCTTGTGGAACTCCGCGGGCTGAATGGGAGCAGTCCGTGCCATGTGACTGGTGAACCACACGGGAGGCACAGAGGGGAAAGAGCTGCCTGTGCCTGCAGCGTGCCATGCTTTAACTGCAGTCACAAAGCCGTTTCATTCAGTGTTGTATCCACGTATTTACGGTCTAGAAGAGAGAAGTCTATTTCTTTCACATAAAGAGGTTTCTATTGGAATCACCTATGCAACGAAAAGTCTTTGCTTCTCTGACTAACTGGGTGAATGGTGATGCTATTTACTGGGATGAGGGAAACTTGGGGAAGAAATGATTTGGGAGGTAGGAAGAACCTATAGTTC